AGGGGTTTTTTGGGTCCCCCCTCGTATAAAACATAGAAAATTAAAAATGAAAGTAACATTAGAAATAAAAATAGCTGAATCACTAAGGGAAGAGATAAAAGTAATATGAACTTGTTATATGGTATAGAGGATGGAAAGGGCTTTGGGGGGAAAAGTCCTTTTTTTTTTTTTTTTTGGAAAGTGGATCTTTGAACTTAGCCATGTTGAGTTATACCCATTTTACATCTGCTAGTTGCTAAATTCATGCATTCAGTTCCTTTTTTTTTTTCCCATAAACATTTCATTTCTGCATTTTGCAACTAAATCTTTGTTTGTGATGCTCAGGTTAACTATTGACCCAGTTATCCAAGATGAAAGTGAAATTTTATTTGACTCTCAACCTGAATTGTTGAAATACAGAACAACTGACCTTTCAATAAACTTGGTCACAGACTGGTACTGGAAACGAGCAGAGGAGATAGAAAACTACTCTATGCAGGTAAACACAAGATTCTAGATGTATTTTTTATTTTGAAGACCTCATATATTTTGTTTTGTGGAGTTAAAACATACAATTTCATACAGACTAAATCTGATTAAGTTTCATACACTGTACTACTCTTTAGATGTTATATGCAGTGGACATGCAATATATAAAGAGATATTTTCACATGTAATCTGCCGTAACAGAGTTTGGGTTTCTAGCTTTATTACATACTTTTTCTAGCTTTATTGGAGTATTTTCAGGCTGCTTATGAGGCAACAAAGGTGGGTAAGTGGGAGATGCAAAATATTATCTTGCAAAATACTAGATTCTGCTGAGCTATATTCAGTAGGTTTAAAATAAGCTTCCTGTTTTAAAATGTTTGTCAAACCATACAAAAGCGTTATTGTGGGCTTCTGCCTATTTCCAAGGGTTTATTTGTAAAGTGTTTGTAAAGCATAAATACCTTTAAAGTTGGATTTGCTTTCAAAAAAGCCACTCTGGCTTTTAGTCCAATATCTTTTAAAAAGAGGATTATGTGTACATCTCCTGTAGGCTCAGTCAAGCCCGTGGCACTATTATAAATTAAAAATTTCCTGAAAGAACAAAGCAGCTACCTTTTATATGTATTTTTGTTCAGAAGTTTAAAGGAAAATTTGGTGTAGTGGTTAAGGCACCAGGCTAGAAACCAGAAGAGTGAGTTCTAGTCCCATTTTAGGCATGAAAGCCAGCTGGGTGACTTTGGCCAGTCACTCTCTCTCAGCCCAACTCACCTCACAGGTTTGTTGTGGGGAAAATAGGAGGAGGAAGCAGTATTAGGT